TTTCTGTTATCTAAGCCTCAGTTTCCACTTCTGTAAAATGAAGATAATATTTGCTATACCTTCTGCTGAATGCTTTCACAGGGTTGTTTATGTAGGAAGAGTTTTGTAAGTCTCAAAATGCCATTAAAATTATTATTAATATTCTTTTACTAATCATTAATATTTCTTCAAATATAATTTAATTAATATTAATTTAGTTAATGTTTTATTAATTATTACATTCTTCCCCTGAAAGCAGAAGTCCCATGAAGCCAGGGATAGGATCTCTATTATTCATTGCAATGATAAATTCTTAGAAGAACATCAGGTTTACAGCTGGAAGGAGCCTTAGAAACCATCTAGTCCCACTGACCCTCTTGGACCTCAGTTCCTCCATCTGTAAAGTGAGGGAGAAGGAGGAAAGCCTAGAGCCTGAGGTCTTTCTCTTCCTGCTATAGATCCATGAGCCTATGAGATGGGACAGGAAATGCTGGATGTTGCCAGATGGCGGAAGGCCTTGGACTCCAAGCAGAGTTTAAACTCTATCTTCACAGCAATAAGAAGGCTTTGAAGAATTGATATGTATAAAGGAAATTATTTTGGTAATGATACAAAAGATGAATTGGAAGAGGGAGAGATTTGATGGGGGAAAGACCATAGGAAGAGATTACAATAGTCTGAGAAGGTGGTCTGTCACCCTGGAAGGAATAGAGATCAGAGCTGGAGTAGAGATGGAATCAGTAAGACCTGGTCATTGGATATGAGAGGAAAGGGAGGTGGCAATCCCAAGATTCTGAGCCATATTCTGGTGAATATGGCACCATGGGCGGACATGATGAGGTCAGAAGGAAGAACAAGTCAGCAGAGGGAAAGTAATAACTCGGTGGGAGCATGGTCAGTTTGAGGTGCCAGTGGGACAAGGAGTCTTGGGAACAAGTCTGAAACCCTGAAGAGATCCGGTGTAGAGCTGTAGATGGTAGCCACATCAGCATTCGGCCAGTAGGTGAAGCCACGGGAATAAATGAGATTGTCAAGGGAGAAAGGAGAGAGGGAGAGAAAATCCCTGTCCTTTTCTCTCCTCCAAGGCCCCCCTCCTCCCTCCCTCTGGTGCCATCTAAGGCCTCTTTCCTCTCCCTATCATGCTCAGTGTATGTCAGGAATCCTGAATCAGGAAATTAAAGCTGTGTTGTCAGTATTACCAATACCCAGGGAACTAATCCTGGGGATTAGTTTTCTTTGGCTCCCAACCTCCTGATGTGCCTTGGGGAGACAGGGCACCAGGGGACGCCAGCTGTAGCCCCCTGACTGTGGCAGGAGGATCTGGCCCCGAGCCCAGGCCAGGAGGACCTCCACATCCAGAATGGCCCAACATGGTTGGAATGAGTGAGGGAGATTCCCCAGTCTTGGATCTCCCCACCAGCCAGTCTTTGGAAACACTGGGACAAGTGGATAGGAGAAAATGCCTGTGGACATGGAGGAGAGAAGCTTTCCCATCACTGGTTCTTTGGAAGTGACACGAAAATTGATTTGGTATCTTCTTCCAACCAATCAGGAAGTGGCAACTAATTACTGCCCTCCCCCCTCTTACTCATTGGGGCAGTACATGGGGCAGGAGGGATGTGGGAGGGATATTTGCCCCTACGATCCTTGGGAGAACCTGTTGTTTCTTCAAGGGTGAGGATGGAGCAGCTGGGGCCGGAACTGAGACAGTCTTCTTCCCTATAAGCCCCTGGGAAGCTTTCCCCGACCCCGGGGCAGGGAAACAGAAGAAACAGAGCACACCATCTTCAGCTTAGGCCATAGATTCACAAACCCAGTGCTGGAAGGGAATTCAGAGGCCACCTTGTCCAATCTCGCCCCACCCCCTCATCTCACCCATGAGGAAGCCATGGTCTGGGGGTGTCAAGTGACTTACTCGCCGAAGTCACAAAGGCAGACAACCTGGTTGAATTTGAGCCCAGGAACTTTGACTTGAGAACCTCACTACTCTTACAGACTATTCATCCAATTCTCTCATTTTATAGATGAGGAAACTGAGGCCCTTGAGACAGCCTGAAATGACTTGCCCAAGGTCACCCAGCTAGAAGTGAGGCAGAAGGCCTAGTGTGAATCCTAGCTCTGCTACTTGTAGTATGTGTGTGACCTTGGGTAAGTCATTTACTTTGTCTGGGTCTCACTTTTCACGTCTGTAAAATGAGACAGTTAGAACTATATGACCCCAAAAGGCCTTTCTAAATCTCAGTTCAATGTATCCATTTCTTCATCCATTTTACATGCGCAGCCAGAGCCTTCTTAGATCCGAAGGAACTTGCGGGCCTCATGTTACAGATGGAGAAATTGAAGCTGGCTCAGAACTGGACTAAGGCCATGGCTCAGAAACCTCCAGTGGTTTTCTTCTGCCTCTCAGATTGAGTCAGAATTCCATGAGGAATTCCTTGATGTTCAAGGCTGCTCACTGCCAGGAAGGACCTTCCCTACATGTACAAGCTCTCACTCCTCTCCAAATACACTCTGTCCTCTACATAGACCCCTCTCCTCTCTATGCAGGGGTGAGGGTGGGGAATAGGGCCTCCTTCAAGTCTATGCCTACTTCGGAGCAGGGCCCTTGGCTTCTCCCTCCTATCAGCCTTGAACATTCTTCCTCCTTTCTTTCTTTAAATCCATAGCACTTCATTTAAGACTCAGCTCTTCCATAGGGACTTTCCTGGGTTAACATAATCTTAATCCTAATACTCTGGAAGAAAGGAAGGAAGAGAAGGAAGGAAGAAAGGAGGGAGTGGAGGAGGGAGGGAGGAAGAAAAGAAGGAGGGAAGGAAGGAAGAAAGGAAGGAAGGAAGGAAGGAAGGAAGGAAGGAAGGAAGGAAGGAAGGAAGGAAGGAAGGAAGGAAGGAAGGAAGGAAAGGAAAGTGAAACAATGAGGGAAAGAAGGGAAATAAAAAATAGAAAAAGAAAAGAAAGAAAATGGTAGGAAGAAAAGCCTTGACCTTCATTCTTGCCTGCTTTTCCTTCCCCTTCTCCATGGTGGAGGGTTCCTGAAGTGTGGGTTAAGCACGTCCCACCCTGAGGGTGGGTCCAGGGCCTGGGCTAAGAGAGAACCCAGCTGGTGCTTGGCTTGGCTTTGGGTCAGTGTCCCAGGAGCTGGGCGAGATTGATGGCTGCCTAGACGGCCAGAACAGTAGCTGGGGAAAAGGGCTGAGCCAGAGCAGCCTCTGCCCTCCAGCAGCTGAGGAGTTTGGCCCGACCTCTGGGAGCTCCCAGGGTCTGAGGCCCGGAGGAGGAGGAGGAGAAGGAAGAGGAGATTCTTAACCTGACAGTTGATAGTTCTGTCCACAAGCAAGAGATGAGCTGGCTGTCAGCCTTCTCAGGCCTCTTTTGCCCGGGCCAAGAAAGGCCCTATCTCATGCAAGTGAAGCTCAGGAACCATGTGGAAAGCATCATGGTCAATGTAGTAGGGAGGGAGTCTGGCCCCTCCCTGGCCCAGCCTGCCCCACTGCAGCCTCTCCCATGATTCCTGGGGGTTGCCCAAAGCTCTCCTGTACAAATGTGCACGTGCATCCTCCGAGACCCCAGAACACTTGATCCTCTGACCCAGGGGCTGGTAAACACACATTTTCAAAAACCACCACATTTAAAAGCAAATTTTATTGCTCTATCCTTTTTCTACACCACTATCATATCCCAACATCTCATCCTCCCGCCCTGCCCCCCAAAATGATGGTTAAGCAAAACTGAACTAAAAAGATGATCTATGGAAGATGAAATGTTCTCCAGCCGTCACCTTCCCCTGCACCCTGTGCCCCTTGGCAAATAAAGGGAGCTGGGTGCCATCTTGGGCTTTCCAGGCCCCACATGGGTCATTGCCATGAATCTTTGCTCTGTTACCTTTTAAAGTTGCTTTTGCTCGCTATATATGTGATGCCTGATGTTTTCTGGATTATGCTTCACACAAGTTTTTGCAGAATTGTGGTATTTTTTAGAGCTGGAAGGGACCAAGGAACAATAGAACAAAATGTTAAAGCTAAAAGGGAACTTAGAACATGGAGTTGGAAGAGTTCTTGGAACACGGAATGTCAAAGGATCGTGGATTTGGAACTGGAAGGGACATCAGAGGCCACCAAATGTAAACCCTTCATTTTACAAATGAAGAAACTGAGGCCCAAAGAGATTAAATGACTAGCCCAGGGTCACAGAGCTAGCGTCTGAGAGGGAATTTGAACCCAGGTCTTCCTGACTCCAAGACCAGTGTCCTCTTCATTATGCCAGTTAGAACTACAAAGAGGGCATAGCCAACAGAATGTTAGGGCCTAAGAGGGAGCTTAGAACATAGAAATGTCAGGGTCTAGAGACAGCTCAGAACATAGAATGTCAGAGCTGGGAGAAGCCTTAGAACACAAGATATCAGAGCTGAGAGGGATCTTAGAACACAAAATGTCAGAGCTGGAAAAGGGCCTTGGAAAAGAATGCGTGTCCCACCCCCACGTTTTACAGATATGAAAACTGAGGCTCATATAGGGCAAGTGCTTTGCCCAAGGTCTCATAGGTAATAAGTAGCAGAGTTAAGATTCAAACCAGGCCTTGTGGTTTCAAGAGCTTGAAGGAGCCTTAGAACATGGAATGTTAGAGTTAGAGGGACCTTAGAACATAGAACTTAGAACCAGGATTGGGGAGAACCTTAAAGCACAGAATATTAGTGCTAGAAGGGACCTTTGAGATCATCTAGTTCAATGTCCTCCTTCAATGAGCGTCTGGGGGTCTGCGAGGTGAATGGCTTACCCACAGTCATGCAGGTAAGCTGTCACAAAGCCCAGACCTGAACTCAGGTTCACTGACTCTCAGTCCAGCGGATTTTCCACAACCTCCCCCCGCTTACCAGGAGTGCAGACTCCAAACAGCAGCATGGCCTGCCTCCTGGGGAGTGTGGACACCCTCTGGGTGGTGAGAGTTGTGCCCTTGACCCACTCCAGACTGGCTCTGATGTCTTAGCCCTAAGCCCCATTGTTCTTCTCTCTCCCACCCTATAGGAAACCGGCTGGACGAAGGCTCTGATGTGGAGTCGGAGCCTGACCTCCCGCTGAAGCGGAAGCAGCGCCGTAGCCGGACTACTTTTACAGCTGAGCAGCTGGAGGAGCTGGAAAAGGCTTTTGAGAGAACCCACTACCCTGACATCTACACCCGGGAGGAGCTGGCCCAAAGGACCAAGCTGACAGAGGCCCGGGTCCAGGTAAGGGAGGGATGGGCATTCCTCAGAGAGAAACCGGGGCTTGGGCTGGGGTGGGGGTGCCCAGGGACAAATACAACAGCCTCATCTGCCATCTTCTGTAGGCAATGAGGGTCAGGGGGCAAGTCTTACTGTGGGCATGGAGAAGAGAGCCTTGGCCCACCAGAGGATCATGGGGTCACTGGTGCCCACAGAAGTTCATCAATTCATAGCCCTCAAACTAGAAAGGACCTCAGAGACCACCTGGTCCATTTTTTCAAGATTAGGAAACTGAGGTTCATAATGGAGAAGGAATTTGCCCATGGATAAAACTAGTCAACATAGGACTCAGGATCTGAACCCAGATCTTCTTGACTTCAAGTCCACCATCCTATCCACTATGCCATATGATCTGTCATCTATGTGTATGTGTGTAGGAGTGAGGGAAAGGGCACACAATGTTGTACCCCATACCTAGGAGACAGTAGTTGGGGGTGGAGAATATAGATGAGTATGGATCAGACATTATGATATAGGAGAAAAATCATTGACCAGTAGCAATCAGAAAACTTGGATCCCCACCTCCTCTACTTATGAGCAAGGTGATCTTGGCTAAATCCCTTTCCCCCTGGACCTCCATTTCCCCACACATAAAATGAGAGGGTCATCCTAGGACCTTTGAGGTCCCTCCTAGCTCCCCCATCTATGATTTTGTGGTCATGAGGGAGAGGGGGTTGAACAAGACAGGACCCTAAGAATCTTCAAGAGAGTGGAAGGGAATGTGGATAAAAGAGGGAAGGAGAGGCACAGAGCCTACACCATATGGCCCAGAGTGGAGTGGTGGGAGGAGAAGTTGGAAGGGGATCACTTAATCTTCCTGGGCTAAGATATCACATTCTGCAAGGCCTGCAGATTCTCCATGTGAAAAGTGTGTGAGTCTTCTGTCTCCCGGGACCTTGCTAGAAAAGCCAAGCAGAAGAAGGGGGATGGGGTGGGGCACCACCTTAAGACAAAGTCATGATAAATAGCCCTTTTGGGGAACTCCAGCCTATAGGCCCCACCTCCTCTATAGCTATGTGCCTGTGTGTATAACACACACAGGCCAGCAATGTGTGTTAACAGGTAGAGAGGGTGTGGGGCTGATTGGGAGATATTCATGTGTGTATGTGGCAGAAAGAGATGAAGAGCCACCTAGGGGGATTCTGACAGAGGGGAGATGGATTTGAGACATATATTTCTTGGACATAGCCAACGAAGGAAGATGTTTTACTTGACTATGCAAACTTGTTACAAGTATTTTGTTTTCTTCTTTTTCCCAGTGGGGGAGTAGAGGTAGAAGGGAGATTGAAAAAATTGAATTTTTGAATTTGAATTTGAATTGAATTTTGAAATTGAAAAAATTAAAATTTTAAAAAAGAATTCCTTAGTGGGCATAGCGGAGACTCCAAAGAAAGGACAAGCCCCTCAAAAGTCTTCAAGGAAGTATTCTCCAATGAGTTAGTTTGATTTTTGTTTTTGTTGTTTTTTTGGCTAGGCAATGGGGTTAAGTGACTTGCCCAGGGCCACACCGCTAGTAAGTGTCAAGTATCTGAGGTCAGATTTGAACTCAGGTCTTCCTTACTCCAAGGCTGGTGCTCGATCCACTGCACCACCTAGCTGCCCCTCTCAATGAGTTAAATCAACAATCATTTATTAAGCATCATTCTGTGCCAGACGTTGTGCTAAGCACTTGGGATACAAAGAGAGGCAAAAACATGGCCCCATCCTCAAGAAGGTGCTGTACTAATAGGGGAGACAATGTGTGTAACTGTTTACATACAAGATATATACAGAGCAGATGGAAGGAAATCTTAGAAGGAAGTGACTCGCAGCCGGCAGGACTGAGGAAGGCCTCCTGCAGAAGGTGGGATTTGAGTGGAGTCTTGAAAGAAGTCAGGGAACCTACTAGTCAGAGCATTCCAGTCATGAGGATGGTCAAATGCAAATCTATGGAGTCTAGAGACAATGTGTGCTGTTCCAGGAAAAGTAAGAAGGCCAATGTTCCCGGATCATCAATTGTGTGACCCTAAGCCTACATTTCTATGGCCAGCCCTCCCCAGTTGGGGTCAGAACTAAGACTGGGATGAGTCTAGCCCAGAAGGTTAAAGATGGGGGGGGGAGGACAAGAAATCTTTTGGAATACTATAGTAATTCCTTGCAATTAGTAGAAAACTGGACCAAGTACTCTTTATACTCCAAGAAGATGTGATTCTGAAAGAAAGAAAGAGAGAGAGAGAGAGAGAGAGAGAGAGAGAGAGAGAGAGAGAGGGAGGGAGGGAGGGAGGGAGGGAGGGAGGGAGGGAGGAAGGAAAGAAAGAAAGAAAGAAAGAAAGGAAGGAAGGAAGGAAGGAAGGAAGGAAGGAAGGAAGGAAGGAAGGAAGGAAGGAAGGAAGGAAGGAAGGAAGGAAGATTAGAATATAGAATATCAGAGCTAGGAGGTGGCCTTAGCACACACAATGAAATGTCAGAGTCAGAAGGGACCCTAGTTCTGTAGTAGTTCAGTCATTTTCAGTCATGTCTAACTCTTCATGACCCCATTTGAGGTTTTCTTGGCATGGATACTGAAGTGGTTTGCCATTTCCTTCTCCAGGTCATTTTACAGATAAAGAAACTGAGGCAAACAAGGTTAAGTGACTTGCCCAGCTAGGGAGTGTCTGAGGCCAGATTTGAACTCAGGAAGAAGAGTCTTCCTGATTCCAAACCCAGCACTCTATGCGCTATACCACCTAGCTGCCCTGGCATTCTATGGATGGGAAAAGTGAGACTCAGAAAGATGATGATTTGACAGAGATCACACAGTAAGTGGCAGAACCAGAATGTCAAAACAGTCAGCACTACGGACTAGGCTGCCCCTGTGTCTACACTGTATGTGAGACCCTATGGGAAGTGTCCAGAGAAGGCTCAAATCTGCTCTAAGGCAGGGAACCCCTATTTAAAGGGAAAATTAGGATTCACACATAAAACATATACTATATTGATCTAAATCAGGAGTTCTTAACCTGTGTGTGTGTGAGATGGACCCCTTTGACAGTCAAACAAAGCATATGGACCCCTTCTCAGTATAACATTTTTAAATGCATTAAACAAAATCAGATGATTGCCAAGGAAACTAACTATATTGAAATACAATTATACAAATATGTATTTTTTAAAAGTTCATAGACCAAAAAAAAAAAGGTTCGAAGATCCCAGGTTAACAGCCTCTGGTCTAAATAAAAGCTATTGCTAAATATAAGCCACCCCCTAAAATGAGATCTCTTTGAAAGGAAAAAACAGAGTTTTGCACCAAAAAAAATGACAAATTATAGACTACACTCAAATTTATATAAGCCAGATTTGGGAAAGATGTGGAGTCTATACTGAGACCAATAGGGTAAGATCACTTGAAAGCACATGCAAATTGTATACCGAGGAGCTAAAAGAACATGAAGTGAGGGAATTTACAGAGTTGGAAGAGGGGAGTCAGGGTGGGCTTCCTTAAGGAGCAAGGCTTTGAGGTCAAGGTAGGTTGACTGAGGCAAACATCTCATTTGATCCTAGAAACAACGTTGGAAAGTAGATAGGGTGGTGACTATGACCCATTTGGCTCCAAGAGGTTACATGAGTTGATTAGTCACACAGCAAATCCATAGGCACAGCTGGGATGGAAATCCCAGCCTCCTGACTCCCAAAAATCCAGTGCTCTTTCCAGTGTATCACACTGCTGTCCTAGAGAGGCTGCTGACCAAGCCAAGCCAGGAGGCCTCGGTTGCCTCATGGTTTTCCATTTCCTTCTGGAGGACATTTTTCTGCTTTTGGAAGGGAGCCCAATTGGGAAAGGAGAAAACATATCACAAGCCCCCTCCTTTCTGAGTGTGATATCTGAGTCGCTCACAGCCCCCAGCCCCCACCTCCCTCCACCCCTTAGCCCTTGGCGGGCCCCTGAGACTCAGCAGCCAGAAGCTTCCAAGCAGCTGTTCTCCAGGGCACATTCCTCGAGGCTTTCTCATCCCAGCCTCCTGGCAGCCTCCAATGCTTCCCACCACTTTTAAGCCTTGCCGCCTCTTGTAAAATTTTCTGGCTATCAGAGGGGATCTTTTATTGGCTTGTGGGAGCCGACAACATGTGTCAATCAAGTTCTGGGGCAAGGCGAGGAGTGGGGGGCGAAGGGAAGGGACCAGAGGACAAACAAACTCCCCAACATGCCAGTGTCGGGTAGAACTTGGGTGACCCCCTGTCAAGGATGCTAGAGAAGAGATTTCCTGCACTGAGTAGGAAATTAGGCTAGAAGACACCCTCCCTGGTCCCTTCCCAACTCTGAGATTCTAAAGATGATGAAATTTTTTTCAAATAGATTTTCATTGATATCTTTTATTTTTACACTGCCTAAATTTCTTCTTATATCCTACCCCTTCCCTTTTCAAAGAAACATTCTTTATAATAAAGAATTTTAAAAAGAAAAGGAGGAAGAAGAGGGGGGACAATTCAGCCACACCATTTGACACAAGATTTTATGATTGGAAGCTTCTATTATGACATTGTGGGGAAAGAGGATTGAGTACAGGGGCAGAAAACCTGGGTTTTGCTCCCTAGGGAACAGTTACCTCAGTGCCCTAAGGCAAGGCAGGGAAAACTCCCTGACATGTAAATTGCAGGTGTTGGAGAAGATCAAGAATTCCTCACCTGGAGTCTGAGTATTTGTTGTTGGGGGGTTTTTTTTAAATGTATTTTGATTGCTGTATTTTAAAAGAATTGGCTTTCTTTGCCATCCTGTGGATTTTATTTTATGCTTTTAAAAGCATGATTCTGAGAAGAGGCCCATAGGCTCCCCCAGCCTGACTGTCAAAGGAGTCCGGGACCCACAAAAGGCGCCTTCGAGGCTCTCCAAAGTCCCTCCCAGTTTCGAATTCTATTCATTTGTTCAGCAAGGCTATGTGTCAGACTCAGTGATAGGCACAGGGGATTCAAAGAGAAAAACAAATCGGCTCATGTCTTCAAGGAGCCAA